GCCGCTCGGGGATGCTGGCGCCGAACCGGAGGAGACGGCGAGGGTCAGTTCGTTTAAGCGGGCGCGGACTTTCCTCAGTGATGGCTTTGGGTTTTATTTCCTCCTGGACCCGCGCCCTGTTGAGTGATTCTCTTCCTCCTCCGTGTCCTGCTGCTTGGGCCGCGGCCAGCAGGCGGCTTCCGGGAAGTCGACAGGCCATCCCTCGGTAAACCCTTAACCTTTCCCAGCTCTGGGCCCGGCCCAGCAAGGCCGAGGTTTGTGAAACAGAAGCAGAAATGCCGTCCCAGGAGCGGTTGCCGGTTTCCAAAAGTTTGGTCCCTGGAACTTTGCCCCCAAAGAACCGTGGACTTCACGCTCCCACGTGCCTGGTGAATGCCCGCATCTCGCAGCCAGCGGCGTCCGCGGCCCCGCCCCGCCCCGCCCCGCACACCAGCGCATCACCAGGCGCCAGGAGCCATGCTTTACGCTACAAGTCGAATTATTGCGTCCGTTGGAGGAGAACTGAATTCCCAGTACATCTTACTGGTTTTCAGCAATGTTGGTGTATTTACGAACAAGTTCCAGACGGTATCGTGGCAGCGGCAAATATGGATGCTCCCTGTGGGTCAAATTGTTGCTCAGCGCCTTCCATTCCATTGAGGTATGTTGTGTAGGAGGCGACGCCAAGTCTGCAAAGAAAAGGATCAGAAGTCGCAAGTGTGTCTTCATTTTTGTTAATGCTCCAAGTAGGGGAAAAGCTGCTTGCTCCGTGAGACATTTGCTCATTGATAACTGAAATCCAACGTGTATTATAAAATTCAGAGAGCATTGTGCCCCGTTACAAAAAATAAAGCCACTTGGAGTTTTTGCTTTGGCAGCACACATGCTAAAATTGAAACAATGTAGAGACGTTAGCAGTTTGAATGCAACAGCACATTAAGAGGATTATACATCATGACTAAGTGGGATTTATTCCTGGAATGCGGGAATAAATATGAAAAATCAATGTGATATACCACAATAACAGAATGAATGACAAAAAGATGACCACCTCTAGGAAAAAATCTTTTTAAAAAATCTGTATGAGATAATGGATATGAACTGAACTTCATGTGGTCATTACTTCACAATATACATATTCATATACAATATACATAGTCAAGTCAGTAGGCTGTACACCAAGCATGTCAAACTCAAAGGCTAACATGGGCCAATAAAATGAGGCATACAGCCCATGGGCTGCACGTTTGACATGCTTGCTGTACACTTTAAACTTACACAGTTTTGTATGTCAATTATAGCTCAATAAAACTGGAAAAAATTTAAACCATGAAAATTAAGTTTTATGGGGCAAGAATTTTTTGGTCTGTTTTAGTCTCTTCTATATGCTCAGTAACCAGAACAGCCTCTCGCATATAATAGGTACTCAATCATATTTGATGAATGAATGAATGAGAAAATGCAAAGACTAATGTATTGCCATTACTTTTTATCTTTTAAGTGAACTACAACAAGGAGATATGAAGATTAACTAAAGATAGTACTAAGGTAGAAGGAAGATTCAGGGACAGAGGTATTTATTTATTTATTTATTTATTTATTTATGAGAGAAAGAGAAAGGGAGAGAGAAACATCAATTTGTTGTTCCACTTATTTATGCATTCATTAGTTGTTTCTTGTATGTGCCCTGACTAGGGATCAAACCCACAACCTTGGCATACCAGATGATGCTATAACCAACTGAGCTCCACGGCCAGGGCAGAGACAAAGATATTTAGAAAATTTATTTTCAAAGAGGTACAAGGAAGTGGTCAATAAGCACTTGAAAAGTTGCTCAACATCATTAGCCATTAGGCAGATGCAAATCAAAATCACAGTGGGGTCATACCCACTACAATGGCTATCATAAAAATACACACACACTCCCCCAATAGCAAGTATTGGTCAGGATGTGAAGAAATTGGAATACTCATACATTGCTGATATGAATGTAAATGATTCAGCCACTTTGGAAGACAGTTTGGCAGTTTTTCAAAAGGATGAACACACAGTTACCATGTGACCCATCACTTCCACTCCTAGAGAAAAGAAAACAAGAGAAATGAAAACCTGTGTGCACATAAAACTTTTACAAGACCGTTCATAGCAACATTATTCATAATAATAAAAAAATGGAAATAACCTAAATGTCCATCAGCTGATGAATGGATAAATAAAATGTGATATAGCCATAAAATGGAATATTTTTTGGCAGTAAAAAGAAATGAAGTACTGATGTAGGCTGCAACATGAATGAACCTTGAAAACATTGTGCTAAGTCAGTGGTTCTCAACCTTCTGGCCCTTTAAATACAGTTCCTCATGTTGTGACCCAACCATAAAATTATTTTCATTGTTACTTCATAACTGTAATGTTGCTACTGTTATGAATCGTAATGTAAATATCTGATATGCAGGATGGTCTTAGGCGACCCCTGTGAAAGGGTCGTTCGACCACCAAAGGGGTCGCGATGCACAGGTTGAGAACCTCTGTGCTAAGTGAAAGGAGCCAATCAAAAAGACTAGTTTGTGTGATTCCATTTATATTAAATGTCCAGAATAGGCAAATTCAGAGACAGAAAACAAGATTAGTGGTTGCCTAGAGTTCAGGGTGAGGGTGTATGTGGGCTCTGGGATGGACAATGACTGCTTACAGGTATAGGGTTTCTCTTTGGGGTGATGAAAGTGTTCTAAAATTGATTGTATTGATGGTTGCACAACTGTGAAAATACTAAGAATCATTGAATGGTACACTTAAATGGGTGAATTGTATGGAATGTGTGGTTTCTCTAGACATACACAAGCCAATTGAAATAAAATTTATATTCCCCCTCCAGTACAAAAGATGGCATGCAATCACAGTTTTGTACCTTGCTATTTTTCTTTAAATATATAAATATATATAGAAATTGTGGAGCTTTCCATATGTGCACACAGAACAATTTTTCTCTTTCCTGCTACATGGTATTCCATAGCATGGTTATCACCATGACTTTTGCCCATAAATTCTGCCCATCACCACGGGATTGGTTAATAGCTAAATTAGTTGCTTAATAAATAAATCATGGTATAATTTGGGGAACGCCAGGAGAGAAGCCCAGGGCCAGAGCAGCTTTCCCATGAAGCAGTGGCAGGCTGCCGGCAGAGGCTTGCCTGGAGGGTGAGTGATAGAACCTGTCAGGTGGAAAAGCTCAGGAGCCATCCTCCAACACTAGTGAGGATGGTGCCTCTGCTGGAGGGAATGCAGTGCTTCTAGAGGCAGTGGGAATGACACTAAGGCCTGCCCCTTGTCCTCAAATTCCTCACTCAGCCCCTCCACTTCTCCCTTCCAGTATTTCTGCATCAACTCCTGCCTTTTCCTTAAGAACCATTGAATCCCAGAGGTTTCCATTGGCTAACTCCTCCCTTTCTGAGACGTCTTATCCCTGCCTCAGTAACCATAGGGTGATGATTCCCAATGTACATCTCTACTCTAGACTTCTCTTTTGAACTTTAGACTTGCACATCTGTCTGCTCTCTCCCATCTCCATTTGGAGGTCTCAGAAGCACTACTAACTCTTCATTTCCAAGAGCTCACTCATATCTCCCCAAATCTGGCCTTCTTCCAGTGTTACTTCTCTCAAGGAATGGCATCTCTGTCCACCTGCACAAGCTAGAAACCTAAGAGTCATCCTCAGCCTCTCCTTTTTCTGCATTTTCCCACACCCAGTCCTCCCAAGTACGCCTTAGATCTGGCCTTTGCATCTCCACTGCTCACCCTATCAAAGTTCCACTGGCTACCACAATCTCCTAACTGGTCTAACAGCATCTTTTCTGCTCAGCTATCCTCTCAACATGCGGCTGAAATTTTGTCTTTTTTTTTTTAATTTAACATGAAATTTGATTTTGTCACCTGCTTACCCCCCTTAATAATGTTCCATCGCTTTAAAAATTGAACAGAATCTCTAGCATAGCCTTCAAGGTCCATGGTCTGGCCCTACCTGCTTTCCTCCATTCTCACTTTGTGCCACATCCTTGGGGCTTTCCTACTGTGAGGTCATGCTCCCTCCTCTTGCCATCGGCTTTTTGCTCACGCTCTTCCCTCTGTCTGTATCAACTTCTGTTCATTCTTCGAAGCACAACTCATGGGAGTCTTCTTGTGTCCCTCCACTTGGGACACTTCCTTTTCATCATTGTGGTTATTGTCTTCTGTTACTATGCATTCCTTTGAGTGGTTCCAGCATCTGATTAATGTCTGTCTCCTTCACTAGGCTGGAAACAACCTCAGTCCAGCGACTGCCTGGTTTTGCTTATCATTGTCAGCCAACAATTAATTTCGAATAAGTGAATGACTGCTGGTTCCATGACAACCGTGAATGGTGCCTCTTTATCATCTTTAGCCACAACCATTCCCTTGGACGCACTGTAGACCACAGTCCTATTTCTTACTTCCTGGGGCTGCTGTGGAGGAAGAAGCATCCGCCAGCCAAGAGCTTGTGCTCTGGAGGCAGGGAGATATGGGCCCATTTCTGTGCTACCATTTACCAGCTGTGGACCACTATCTCTCTGAACCTCCGTTTCCCAGTCTCTAAAAGAGGGTTACCACTTACCTCATAAGGTTGTGTGTTTTTTAAGTCACACCCAATACATTTAATATTTTTTTTCAAAAATATCTGGCACACTATTCATTTTCAAAGTTTCGAATTGTCCCCACAATGTTTTGTGGTTTTTTTTTGCCTTTCATGATAGTGACAATTTTGAAGAGGTCAGGCTCATTGTCTGGTAAAATGTCCCGAATTTAGCTGCCTCATGATTAGATTCCAGGTAAACATTTTCAGCAATGATGTTGTGTTCTTCCCCATACATTCCACCAGGAGGCAGACAAAACCAGTTTATCCCATGATTGGTGATACTAAATTCAGTCACTTGGTTAAGGTGCCCTTAATGTCACAGAGCTATGATGGGGGATTAAATGAAGGAATGTACCCAAGGGGTCTGGTCCATAAACCTTACTTCTTGCCTATTCCCCTTCAACCTTCATTTTTGGGCAAATACACAGCATTCCTGACTACACTTTCCCACCACAAGTGCCTCTTGGTGGGACTGGTGGTTATCACTAATCTGAGACTACTTTAAAAAAAGTCTTCTTATGAAATTTTCAATAAAAGTAGGGAGAGTATTATAATGAATCTCAATGTATTCATTACTCAGTTCCAAAAATTATCACCATTTCACTAATTTGTTTTCTTCCCCCCACTTTTTATTTTTCTGGTGCATTTTAAAGCAAACCCAAGATAGCATATGAATTCATACATAAATACTTTAATATGGTTCATCATTAACAAATAGGGACTTTTCTCCTTCCTTCTTTCTTTCCTTCTTTCCTTCCTTTCAATCACCATTAACACCTAACAAAATTGAAGATAATGTCTTAATGTTATCTAAAAACCGAATCATATTCAACGCTTTGACATTACTTTGGAGTTTTATCTTTTTACGCTTTTCTTTTTCCTAATGCAGAGGTCCAGGAAGTCTACAGCTGCCACTTGGGAAGACAGTTCACTTAGGAGTTCTCCTCATTCTGCTGGTCCAGTTTGGCAGGTAAGTGCTAATGGTCGATGCACATTTTTGGAGATAGTAGGCACTGGTTCAGTATGTGGTGCTTCTCAAACTGTACACAGGTCACCTAGGGGTCATATGAAATTGTAAATTCTGATTTCACGGCTCTGGAATGGGGTCTGAAGTTCCGCATTTCCCAAGCTTCTAAGTAAGGCTGTTGCTGCTGGTCCGCAGAAAATGCTTTGAATAGCACAGTGTTCATGGAAGGTGAAATCTTGATGTTTTGGATGTAGGTGATAAGAAGGAAACAAGTTAAGCAAAGCCTTACATTTTTTGAGTCTTTGATTCTAATCTCTAGCAGTTTCCAAGCCCAGACATTCCACTCCACATCTGGGAAGGAGAAAAGCAAACTTGAATTAACATGTTGAACGCCCCCCCCCCCCAAAAAAAATTGCTGTATGTTTGTTCCAATTTCTCCTATATAGTCAACAATCCTAGTGTCTTGTTTGATGCATGGAAGCATTCCCCAGACTGTCACACAGACTTTCTTCTTATCCTTTTCAAAATGTTTGTTTCTAAAGGCAGGCAGATGTGTAGTTAAAGAGCAGAGACAGACCAGTCTCTGCAGGTGTGGCCTAAGAATTTGTAGTTTTAATAAGCACCCAGGTGATGGAAACTAGACTAGGTGAGGGAGAGATTATTTGTTCTCATGAGAAATGGAAAGAATGGTTGGAAAGTTTCAAATAATTTGCTCGTGGATTTATCATGTTGGTGTGAGATTTGCATCACATACTTATTGAGCATCTTCTATGGGGACAAACAAGACAGAAATATCCTAGCAGTAGGGGAGACAGAAAACAAACATGCACACAAATAACTAAGACAATTTCAGGCGCTGAAAGATGTTACAAAGAATTGTAAAAGAATTAAAACAGCCCTAGCTGGTGTTTCTCAGTGGTTAGAGCATCGGCCTGTGCACCAAAAAATTGTGGGTTCAATCCCTGGCCCCATTTGGGGCTCGTATGGAAGGCAATTAATCGATATGTCTCTCTCATATCAGTGTTTCTTGCTCTCCCTTCCCTCCCTCCCTTCCTTCCACACTGTCTCTGAAAAACAATGGGGGGAGGGGGAGGAGGATCCTCTGGTGAGGATTAAAAAAAAAAAGAATTAAAACAGACCCTAGTTTTCCACATTGTAATCTTTACCATCTTTCCTTTTTCTCTCTCTTCTTCTTTCCTCTTTCTCCCCTTTCTATTTCTTCCTCCCCTGAACCTGAATTAGCACTCAGTGACAACAGGGCTGAGAAAAACCGCTCTCAAAATTAGCATGGAACCAGTGAGTGAACTGAGGTGGAGGCAATTGGGACCCAACATGCTCAGCTTTCTGTGCCAGGTAATGCTTGTGCCCTGCAGGTGGAAGTTGGGTTTTGGAAGGAAGTCCCAATCCAGTCCCCTGCCTGAGAAGGAGCTGATGTGCTGGCCATCTGCCTCCCCCGCCCTGCCCCCCCCCTGCCCCCCCCGGTAAAACCATAATCCTAAACTAGAAGCTGAGAGGGGAGGGAGCCCTATCTTCTTGGCACCTGCCTGGAGTAAAGCTTCTGTCACATAGAGTTAGGAGGAGATGGGGTCAGGTGATGGCTCAACTGCCACAAACTCTTACTGTTCTTATCAAGATTTACTGCCCAGCTGCTGTGGCTCAGTGGTTGAGTGTTGACCCATGAACCAGGAGGTCAAAGTTCCATTCCAGTCAGGGCACGTGCCCTGGTTGCTGGCTTGATCCTCAATAGGGGGCATGCAGGAGGCAGCTGATCAGTGATTCTCATCATTGATGTTTCTATCTCCCTTTCCCTTCCTCTCTCTGAAATAAATAAAAATGTATTTTTTTAAATTCACTAAATTTTCTTGAATAAATGTTTCTCTGTTTGCTGCATACTCTTAGGACAATATCCAGAGACTTTAAATGGTTGCTTTCCATAATTTTCTCTAGTTAAATGATTCTTTCAGCAGGGAGTGTCAGACAGCACTGCTCTTGTAGGAGTGTGGGCACCTTAGAGCAGCGGTTCTCAACCTGTGGGTCGCGACCCCTTTGGGGGTCGAATGACCTTTTCACATGGGTCGCCTAAGACCATCGGAAAACACATATATAATTACATACTGTTTTTGTGATTAATCACTATGCTTTAATTATGTTCAATTTGTAACAATGAAAATACATCCTGCATATCAGATATTTACATTATGAATCATAACAGTAGCAAAATTACAGTTTTGAAGTAGCAACGGAAATAATTTTATGGTTGGGGGTCACCACAACATGAGAAACTGTATTAAAGGGTCACGGCATTAGGAAGGTTGAGAACCACTGCCTTAGAGGTTTTCATTTCCCCCATAACTTTAGTATGAAAATTTTTAAACAGCAAAACTGAAAGGTTTTCACAACAGATACCCATATTCTCCTTACCAATATTCTACCAGTAACATTTTAGTATAGTTATTTTATTATATATCTATCCATCTACCTATCATTCACTCTGATGTATTTTTTGATGCATTGCAAAGTAAGTTTTAGACATCAGTAACTCCTAAATTTCTAGCATATGTATCATTAATTAGAATTCAATATTTTCAATTGCATTTAGCATTCAATATTATATTAGTTTCAGGTGTATAGTATAGTGGTTCGACATTTCTATAACTTATGAAGTAGAATTCAATATTTGTTTGCATTTTTTATTTTGAGGTAAAATTTACATACAATGAAATATATAAATCTTAAGTATAGCCATTGAATTCTGACAAATTCATGCACCTAGAGACAAACCAAACTCCTATCAGGATATGAAACATTTCCATCACCTCACAGAGTTCCCTCGTTTCTCTTCCTCAGTCTATCACCACCACTTCCCTGTGATGATTTTCCCTCACCAGGTTAGTCTTTCCTGTTCTGGAACTGTATATAAAAGAAATCATGCAGTATAAACTCTTCCCTGTTAAACTTTTACTTACCCTAATGCTTTTGAGAGGCATCCATGTTGGAGGAATCAGTTCATTCCTTTTATTGCTGAATGGTATTACATGGTAGGAATTCACCAATTCGTTTATCCAGTCTCCAGTTGACAGTCACCTGGGCTATTTACTGGAGGACTGTAGGCAGAGGGTTGACCTCTAATTACCCTTTAGATAGGTCACTGTGGTTAGTTAGTTAGTGGAAGGTGAGCTATAAGGACAGGGCAAGAAGAGACAATAGAGCAATCAGGAGGCTCTGTCAGTAGTTCCGGTGATAGTTGAGGTTGGCTTGGGTGCACATTGTAGCATTGGAGATGATGAGAGGCGGTCTGATTCAGGGTGTATTTTGGAAGTCAAACTGATAGGAATTGCTGATGAATAGGATGTGAAAAGTGAAAGAAAAGAAGAATCAAAGATGACTCTATTCCCTCAAGCCATTCCTTTAACCATACTTTGCCAACATGATGGTGGAGAGGCAAGCCGGAAACACTCTGCTTGGAAATTTGGCTAAAAACCAATTGGAAGGCAATCAGTAAGCAAATATTTGCCAAATGCTTCCAGGTGGCACTTAAATAGTTCATATGCTGTACCCTGTGAACACATGCAGCTCTTCAGAAATCCAGCATAATTTGCAGTGTCTCTTGCCATGGTAATATCACTGTTAGAAATATAAGTCAACTTAATTTTTGAATCCCTACTTTATTCCCCCTTGCCACCTGCCACCCCACTCGGCCCAGCACTTCTGAGCTGTTGGCTTTAAGATTCAACTTCCCTTCTTTTAAACAGGAAACTTTTAAATGTCAGTTCTTTCTTATTTTAATCTTTAAACATGTCACTGTGTTTCTCATAATAGAAGATTCTGTGATTGACCTTTTGTCTGTTACATAACGAATGAGACCTTTACAAATAATACAGATGAGATCAAGTTAAACTCATTAAACAAGTATTTATTGAGTGCCTACTATGTGCTAGAAATCGTGCTCGGCATTGGTTATACCAGAGAGAATAAGACAGTGTCTGCCCTCAAAGAGCTCAAAGAATATGTATATGGGAGGGGTTTATTATAGCTGATCGTTTTTATGATAGTAGAAAGCCTGTACAGTGGCACTCAAGAGAGGCTTAAGAATAAAACCAGAAAAAAAAACCCAAAACTCCCAGAGGAGGTGTTTTCATTGAGAACTGAATGGTCAGAAAAAAACAAGCCAGAGAAATTGGAGTGGGACAGAATAGGGTATTCCAGATGGGAGAAGCATGACGTAGGTTCCAGATGTGTACATGGTTGGGTTTAGGTGAAATGAAAGTTAGCAAATGACCACTGAGTGAATGAGCAATATGAAATTTAATTTTTACTGTTAGTTAGAGCTGTTTGAAAAGAGGGCAGAATCCAGAGTGGAGTGGGTTGAGGAGGAAGTAGAAGGTGAGGAAACAAAGCTAATGAATAGAGACGACTCTTCAGAGCAGTTGGGCTGCGAAGGTGATGAGAGAGAGGCTATTAGTTGGATAAGGATATGGGGGTGACAGAGAGGTGGGGTTTTTTTCCCCCAAGAAGAAAGAGAATTGAGTAAGTTAAAATGCGAGAGGAGGCCTTTGGAGAGAAGTTGAGTTCAGAAGAGAGGGAGTGAATAATAAAAATGTGTAGTTCTTGAAAAGGTGAGAGGGGATGTAATCCAAAGCTCTGATGGGGAAACTGGCCTTAAACAGGAGATAGAACAACATCAATATGGTAGCACAAAATAGAAGGAAGACAGAATGGTAAGGGAGGTTTAGATGCTTGCATTGAAGAGCTGAGAAGTCCATGTCTGATGGCTTTTCTTCTCTCTGGGAAGGAGGGGAAGGTATGTGGTCAGAAGATGGTTGGGGAAGGTTCTTGTGGAGAGGGGGAAGGGTTTGCAGATGACTGTTGAAGTGATCATAAACTGATGTAGGTGATCATAAACTCCTTGTAAAGTAAGCTGCCTTTGTGTGATTTTCTCCATTCGACGTTTGCCCGCTTGGGCTTGGGAGAAAGCTAGGAGAAATCAATGTTGGGGCCTTTGGGGTTATGATTGCTGGAAACAATTCAGCATTTCTCAAACCGGACTTTTTCAAAACATTCTCCTAACAGATGTTACTAGGTATATTGATAAAAAAGTTGTTAGTCCAAGAAGTTTGGGAGCACTGCTTTATATTCTATTCTTAATATGCACATGAACATATTTGAAGTTCTGAAGGTCTTAACCCAGTTAAATTTAGAATGGCCAACTTTTTCAAGCTTAGTTGCATCCAGAATGCTGTGTGTGTGTGTGTGTGTGTGTGTGTGTGTGTGGCGCATATGTTAAGGTATCATAGTTTGGTTTATGATGGGTTAGATAATCAAGAGTTTCCTCCATTCACCTTATCTTTACAGGAGCCTTTATTCCTTTCATTTAGCACATTTACTTGATCTGTAGTTAGCCATTTAAATCACATTGATTTGGGATGCAATCAATGAATCCCAAATGTTCTCCTGAAATGTACCTCATTCTTTTTAAATATATATATATTGATTTCAGAGAGGAAGGGGAAGGGAGAGAGAGACAGAAATATCAACAATGAGAGAGAATCATTGATCGGCTGCCTCCTGCACACCCACTTCTGGGGATCCAGCCCGCAACCCGGGCATGTGTTCTGACCGGCTGTCGAACCATGACCTCCTGGTTCAACACTCAACCACTGAGCCACGCCGATCAGCCTGCTCTGTATTTTTATAATGTCTACTCTGCCACTCTCTTTGAGATGACTTGAGTGGGGACCAAAAGAGCCCTGGCTGTGGCATCTCCCCAGTCAGGACACTTGGCTGGTAGTGTGCTATTTGAGTGAGATTGAATGTGATTGAATGAGGATGGAAGAGAAATCTATTTGAATCGTCAGCTCTTCATCCTTCATGTATTATTCTCTGATTAAAGTAGGGTTTCTCAACAACTGCACTATTGACATTGTGGACCAGAGCATTCTTTGTGGGGGAGGGAGCTTTTCTATACATGGAGGGAGGTTTAGCAGCATTCCTGGCTCCTCACTAGGTGCCAGGAACACTGCTACCCCCAGCCCCAAGTTGTGACAACCAAAAATGTCTCCAGACATTACCAAATGTCCCTTGGGGCAGGGGGGGGAGTTGTGGGGGAGGGAGGGGGAAGGGATCGCCTCCAGTTAGAACTTCTGCTGAAGAGAAACTAGAAGATCAGGAAGCTATCATCTCCTAATCACTATCAGTATGATCAGCAATGCCATAAAGGGCTCGTGATCTACTGTTAAGCATCACCTTAATGAGGATGTTACCAGAAATGATGGAAGACAGTCCTTGAGAGCCAAGACCAGGTGTTAGCATGATATTCACAGCTGACATGTAGGGAGTGCCTGCGTGTGTGCCAG